GTCATTTAATCCTCAAAGTGGTTTGTTTTTTTTAGAAAAATGTTGAGTATGGGCATCGGTTTTAATTATTAAAAAAAGTGAGGGGGAGGAAATGAAAAGTTTTTATGTATATATAGGGTGTGTGCGGTGAGACTTTTACAGACACTCTTTCCATTCTCATTTTTTCTCAACCGCACACACACACACACACAGCCTCTCTCTCTAACTTTTTGAATATTCCACTAATTTTCTTGAAATCAAAGCTCTTACCTGGTAATTATCATGAACATGGCTAAAAAAAATTCGAATTTTTTTTATGAAAAATCAGTCATCATTTGCTGTTTAATCGAAGTGTCAATCATTTCATATGCAAGTGCGACCGCACACGGGCGTGTGTGGATGAACCGTGTGCTACTACATTAACTTGTGAGCGGTTGAGTGTGTGCGGCTGTGGCTGCACACTTGCACGTGTGCGGCTGTGTGCACTTTTGTGTGCGATTGCACCATTTCCAAAATTAATTTTACCCTAATGATTACTTGTGTTTATTTTCAGATTAAGATGGGAGACATGGTATTTGCTAAGGCCCACAACTCTACCATTTTTCTCGAAGACCCTCCTGCAGCTCACAATGACTTAAAGTTCATTGTTAATGGTTTGAAGAAGTCTTGCTTGGTCCATGATTAACCACTTGCCCTGTAATTTATCAGAATCTGATCAAGGATTTCTGGAGGAGCGCAGTTGTGAAAAAGAATAATCAGGGTGAAAAGTTCATTGAAGAAAAAATTGAAGAAAAGAAAGTTCAAGTGTCAGAGAGCATTATTCGGGAATCTCTCCAAATAGACGACAGATCTGAGTACACTATGGAGATTGACATTCATCAAACCCAGGATGTATTAGAACACATAGGTACGAGGGAACATTTCCCCCTACCATCAAGAAGTTGATTCCTCCTTGTTGGAAATATCTGGCCCACGTGTTCGTGAGCTGTATTTCCGACAGCAAATTAGGTGCAAATGAAATCTCCCTGGTTAAAACAGGAGCAATCGCAGCCTTCGTTGCAGGATTTGAGTTCAACTTCCCCAAGTTCATAATGCATGAGTTGATTCTAAACCTTGAAGGGAGCAAGAGGGATAAATTCTTGATGTACCCAATATTTTTGCATATCATCTTCAATGTGATACATACTGAGCTGCGGAGATGCAATGAAACCTTGGATCTTAAATCCATTGGTCCAAGTGCTTTTGGGCTAATGAAACAAAAGAGAGGTGGGAAATTCGTGTTTGAAGGAAAGTTCCATTTGATAAAATTTGGAATTTTTAAAGAGTGTGATCGATCAGAATCAGGAGAGCAGTCCATCCCTATGGAATCTGAAGACATTGTTCATTCAACTTCCGAGCTAGAAATTAAGGAGGGTAATGTTTCTCCTTCAGTCGTTATGGCTGAGGAACATGATCATCAGAAAGAAAATGAAACACTATCTGCTCAAGAGGATGATGATGATGATGATGATCGTTATGATGACATAGAGTTTTTGAAGGAAATTGATTTTACATGGATTAGTGATGACATCCCAACAAATATAGAATTTGATCTTGATGATGAAGAATTCGGTCCTTTTCTTGGAATCCCCAGCAGCTGTCCTAATAAAGTCAATGAAGTTGCGTCTTCAGCAACCAAGACTAGAGAAGAAGGAAACATTCTCAAAATTTTGCTCTCTACATCAAAGACCCTGGAGGTTGCATCTAGCCAAGGAAATGTGACATCAAAGATTCCTCCCTTTGTGTCATCCATCTCAACATCTGATCCAATGGTCTGACTCAACTCAACCCCAAACCTCTCAGTCTTCCTTGGAAACAAGTCAATCTTTTTTTCAAGTCTGGAGGTGCCCACTGTGGGTAGTGCTCCTCAAGTTCTCTCCACAATCACTGCTACCACTGCTTACTCTCCACCAAAACAATCTGATGAAGGTCTGAGCACTATGTTTGAAACTGGTGGCTCATCATCCATACCAGAATACTCTCCCACCAGACCTTCATTAGATGAAGCTTCTATAAGGTTGGTAAAACACCGAGCCCAACACAGTCCAACCTCCCTCTCGTGACAAAGGAATACCATTTAGAGAGGAGTGCACAGATGATGATAAATCTTCCTCGTTTGATCTTCATGAAGAGATTGGGATTCTCCGTCAAGAGCTCATTGAAAAGACAATTCATATGGATCAAATTACCTGTTACATTGTAGAGCTCAGAACGAAGATTGAAGAGAAGACCAAACAGATTAAAGATGTTCAAATGAGTCTTGGATCTGTGACAGCCACCTACTTCAATCTCAAGAACATTTTGTATGACACTTTTGGAGACCAAGTCAAGGCCCTTCTTCAACAGCCACATGGAGTTGATGATCCTCCCACAGCCCCCACACAGTCTGTCGCAAAAGACTTTCCAGTCGATCCACCTGCTCCAAGAACAACCACTATTGTCAACAGAATTGGAAAGAAGCTAGAAGGAAGCAGAGCCGGAATAATGATCAAACAGGGCAAGATAACCATAACAGCCAACAAAAGCGAAGGGGTACTCTTCATGAAGAATTCAAATGAGAATCGCAAAGCCAAAGACCTTGTGTAACAGTTACTTATCTTAATAAAAGAAAATTTGGTGATGAGTACGGAGATAGATCGAGAATTCAAATGTAGGCCTTTGATCATGAAACAAATTTGTGGGTTGTGAAAAGGAACTCATGAAATCCTGAGTATTACAAGAGCACCCATGATTTAAACTCATGGATGAAAGTGGATCTTGCTGAAGTATCAAGAGCCCCATTCCATAATCCCTCAGAAGATCCCAGTGCCTCTAACTTCAAAAGGTTTCTTGACAGGCAAGTAAAAGAAAATTTTCCGTCAATGAAGACTGCAAGAGCCTTGTACCGAAAAGACAAAGAAATTCTAGATCCAGAATCAAGCCAGCCTATGAAGATCATACTTTGGCCTACGACTAAACAGCAGAAGGAAATTCCTATCCCTCAACACTTCCATGAGGGATATCTTGATAAAATGGGATTTTGGGCTTACGACGACAAAACTGCCACTGCTGCTATAAAATCAAAGATCGAGAACAAGTCTTGAGGTTGATAAGTGCTAAAGATCTTCTGTGATTTAGGGAAAGGGATATCCACACTCTGTCTCGTCACCAGATTATATGTAGAAAAGATGTTATGGAGGCGGCTGCAAAAGAGTTTACTGCAATGGTCACCACAATCATTAACGGAAGAATGTGGATGGGCTCCATGGGAAGATCAGATCTAAAGTTCTTTAAAAAGCCAACTGAATGAAGATCAATTCTATGCTATCCTCAAACCAAAGGGGAGATTGATAGTATATAATATTTTGGTTTGAGCTAGGTATTAATTTTGTATAGATCTGATTAGGGTGAAAGTGTATGTAATGCAGCGTTTTGGTTAAACTTGATTTATGTGTGCAGCCTCACACGTGTGTGCGTGCGGCCGCACACGCGTGTATGGTTGCACACTGGTGTGCTGGTGGGGATACTATTTATAAGAGCTGATTTTTGTCATATTGTAGTTGTTGCTAAACAGTGCAGTGTGCGTACTTCTCACGGTGTATTTGACATTTATGATATAGATGTGTGCATGCTTGATGTTATCTCTCTTCTACTCCCTCTACACTTCATTTCGATTGCTATTTGCTTCATTGATTACTAAATTGGATCCATATTTTTTGGGACTAACATTAGCCTAAAACAAAGTAGTTTTTCAGCATAAAAAATGAATTTTAAGCCTATAAACCGATGGAACCGGGGGAACGGGGGTGTGACCGAGGGCGATGGAGGTAACCGGGAGCGAGACCGAGGGTTATGTAAATGGGGGATCTAGGGGTGCGACCGGGGGAGGGGAAAGAACTGATTTCATGGGTGGGGGCAGGGGCTGCTATTTCTGCTTCCGTTTTGTCCTGTTAACATCACTAGAGACATGGAATCGTCAACTGGTTCAACAGGAGTCTCATCCTCATATTGATTGCTAGTGTTAGAGGTTCCTTTATTGCTTAACTCTAGAAGCTATTCAAGGTCAGTTTTCTACCCACTATCCTCTTGTCATATGAGTTCTCTTTCACAAAAGACACCCCTTCGTGCTACGAAGACCACGTCTTACTAGGTCTATAAAACAAATATCCAAAGGATTTCTAAGGGTAGCGGATGAAAATACAATGCTTACTACAAGGTTCGAGCTTTCCGTGAGTCTTTCGTCTTACGAAAGCCTTGCAACCCCAATCCTTCATATGTGCTAACGAGGGAACCTTCCCTGTCCATATTTTGTGAGGTGTTATGGCAACCTTCTTAGCTGAGATTAGATTGAGGATATGGGTGGCAGTCTCTAGGGCATACTCTAACATCCCTATTTTTACGGAAAAAAAAGACTGATTTGTTTAAGCTTAATTTTGAAAATCACAGTATTTTGAAAATCAGAGTATCTTTTAAAGAAATATGTTGCAGAATTTGTTCCTCAAAAAACATGATAAATATATTATCAAAGCAGTTCCGAAGAGTGTATTTTATATCTTTATAAAACATTGGGATGTCATCATCAATACAAAAACATAAGCATAAAAAGATATTACGTTCATTTACACTAGTGATATACATCTCCTTAATCTCTCAGTGTAATGTAGCTTCATATCGACAATTGTGATACAAATAACTGAGTGGCTTAGGTGGGGAAACCTAGTGAGTACATAGGGATTTCAAACTCAAAATGTTATATCTATATATATATATATATATATATATATATATATATATTAGAACTTATAAAATATACAATTTCACCTTATATATATATATATATATATATATATATATATAAGCAATTCTTAGCACACCTTATCGATCCTCCCAACGTCACTATCCATACTCGCGGACCTTAAAATTAATCTCTTTACTTAATCCATACCTCCAGATCCAATCTATGCTCTCGGATAAGTAACTATGCGCATTCCATACTATCGGGCTAAGGATAAATGTCTAAATCCATACTCCCAGATTAATGTCAAATAACTATGTCTTATCCATACTCCCAGACTAAGGACAACTCACTATGTATTAATCCATACTATCGGATTAATGACATCTAACTATGTCTTAATCTATACTCCCGGATTAATGACAATTGACTACGTCCAATTCGTACTCTCGGACTAGGGACAATGACTATATATGCTCCATTCTCCCGGATCAATGACATATTTTAAAGATCTAATCTCAGTGTATAACTCACTCATACTCGTAAGAAGATACTACCCAATATTCCCCATAATTAATTTAGGTTTACTCTTTATCCTAAATCATCATATATAATCATGTATGTTATTTAACACGTATTTCAGGCAACATCAAATATTTCACATATAAACATATATTTAATACTTCAATCAATACTTGAATTAAAATCTATTTTCCTTCGACAAAACCTAGCATTATTATCGCCAGGTTTTAGTCTAATCTGTATTGCAACTAATTATTATTCTAGATTCATCATTAACTCAAAGTCTACTTTCACGATCTATCAAGTAAGTAACAACCAGGTAGGATCATATCGGAGGTAGGGTCCATTTGGTATACGAAGTATACTGTTTGGAAATCCCACTTTAAATACCTCACTAAATCATAGCCTAGACATCATTCCCCTAAGTAGATCAATTAGTATAACAACTTTGAATCATTGATAAATCTTATTTTTTTAGTTTCATAATAAAGATATTAAAGTTAAACATAAGTTATATTTAAAGTAGGGTCGGCATAACTCACTTATATTGGAGTTTAGCGAAGAACCGAGATCTGCGTAGGCAGAACTTTTGAGCCGAAAGCTATTATTCTCGGGGTCTTTTGACACTCCGGGACTCGCCACTAACTCGTAAGAAGTGCTAGATAAAATCCATGAGGTTTTGGGGGTATTTGGTAGAGATGTTGAGAAAACGTGTGAAGAAAAATGTGGAAAAACGCCTCTACTTATAGGCCGCCAGCGCCGAGTACGCTGAGCGTACTCAAGAATTACGCTGAGCATAATGAGTTTTTAAGGGTTACACTAAGCGTACTCAAAATTACGCTCGTCATAATATTCCACATGTCGCGATCTCATGCAATGCCTTGGGGAAGAAGGTGTGGCTTAGATTGTGCCACATGTCTCTTGCTGGTTACTCTAAAAACTATTTATCTTCTAAAAACTGTAACTTTTGTATACGGTCTCCGTTTTGGATGTTCTTGATATCCACACGTAGGTGGGACCGTACTCTACAGCTTTTGTTTATACTTTATCGGCTAATTTTGAATTTATTTTTGAAGTTATATTTTTAACAGGCCGGGACAGGAAAAGTCCATTAAAAATTATTAAAATTGTTCGATCTAATATTCATATTCCAAACTCTATACTGCCCTGCGAAATCTTAGAAAAATGATAACTTCCTCATACGAACTCATATTTTGACTTTCTTTTTTTTGCACGCTCTCGGTTTAATATATTCTATAACTTTCATCCAGATATATAAGTCTAAATAGTATTTTATAAAAAAAAAAGAAAACAATTTTAAAGATTCCCGATGTCGTGCCGAATTTGCCATAAAACTTCGACATGTCATAACTTCTTCATAATAACACGGATTTCAGCATTCTTTATATGTACAGAACCTTTCTGACATATACTATAACTTGGTTAAGATTATTTATTCTACATAATCTTCCTTCAAAAAGTCATTTTTGACGTTCATTATCTCTAAATTGACTAGCACAAATCTAAGGGCGTTACAGTTATCTCCCCCCTACGATGATTTCGTCTCGGAATCATATAAAAAATAAGGCTTATATAATGAATCCATACGTTATCTCTTAATCCTAGGTAATAATCGTAACTTCTATGTTCCTTTGAATGAATATCTATCTCTTGTACTTCTTATTACATACTGTGCTCGGTCTTGCACTCGCCCTCTATTTCATGTTGGTGACTCCTTCTTCGTCTTAACAAACTTAATATACTTTCTTTCCTTCGGTTACCATAAGAGACCGATGGGTCATGTTCTAACGGCCTCTCATCGGATGATGCAATGCTTAGACTTTAAGTCTTTTATAGTCAAATTCCAGACTTGAAAGCAACTTCCTTCATGCTCTAATGTGATATAATCACATTCTAACATTTATCACTTCTAGCCACAAGCTCTTACAACAATTGTGATACTTCTATTGGTCGTTCTGATTATCTTTTACATCAACTCTCTAGCTTAAGTCAGGTGTTACATCGAACTTGGTTCCCTGAACAAGGTAACATAATTATCTATGTCAGACTGAATTAAACAAGACAACTAGGGTCAGAATAACAATCTTCTTATTCATTGCGAAAACAAAGGTGACGACATACACGAACAAAATGGAATCAAATACTAACTTCTTGGTAACCTTGTGACTTTCCCTGATCCAAGTTATAGTCATGTGCTTCCGGTAGTATAGGCCTCTACTACCATTCAAACCTACTCATACTCATCCCAAGTATTGTCTTGCAGTTTTCCAAGTAGTTTTCAAAAAACAATTTTAACACATACAAATGTGTCCAAACAATCATATAATTT